TATATATATATATATATATATATATATATATATATATATATATATGTATGTGTGTGTTTGTGTGTATGTATACATGTGTATATGTATATATATATATATATGTGTGTGTATATGTATTATATATGTGTGTATATATATGTCTCTCTCTCTCTCTATATATATATATATATATACACACATCTACGTGTACTGCTTTAGGCTAACCTAGACTTGTCATTTGCACTTATATATTGTTGCTCTTTTGTTAGTTTTGACTGCTTTTATTGTCCTCATTTGTAAGTCACTTTGGATAAAAGCGTCTGCTTATGTATAGGCATATTACATTATGTGTTTTAACAGTGTTGTTCAATAAAACCACTCTTTTGTTAGTTTTGACTGCTTTTATTGTCCTCATTTGTAAGTCGCTTTGGATAAAAGCGTCTGCTAAATGACTAAATGAAAATAAAAAATAAAATGATGTCAGCCATATAAAGATATAGTCAGCTATATGGCAGAAATAATGCGTGATGTTTCGAAAACAGCATATTTCTCAGATATTTCTCGCCCTGTTCAACGAGTTGGATTCGAGAACAGATTCAGTCGTGGACGACTCGGTCGGACTGATCCTTTAAAAAGATCCGACTCAACAGAAAGATTCGTTCACGAGTCGGACGGCGCTACACTGCAAGAGAGGGGCTTCACAGGGAGAAATACAGTCGGCATATAATGGAAAGTGAACAGGTTGGCGTGTTCGCCCTATAAGTTGAGGACCGTCCGAGTGAATTCGACTATTTAATGGAGTTTCAAGTCGAGCGTGTGTGATTGACGCGTCCGTACAGATGCTGGCCGCTCCGGTCGCGCCGGGGGAAGGAGAGGCTTTGACATCGTTAGATTTGTTGTTATTATAATCAGCTGACCGGTGCTGAAATCGCTCCGTTTGCTGTTTTCTAAAAAGCGGCGATGAGCGCTTGTCAGGACAAAACGTCTTTGAGTTGTTCGCAAAGCAGGGAAAATGTCAGCGGCGGTGAATGGGGAAGGATGGAGGATGCGTGCGCGTCCTGCTTTGACGAACCCACGGGCGACGCGATACGCGCCGGGATGGATGCGGTGCAGCCGGGCATAGACGGACATCTGCCGCTGCCCCGAGGCCAACGAGGACTGATGCTAGGCCTGGTGGAAGAGGGTTTCGCCGCCTACAATGGCCGTCTCGGTTCTGATCCGGACTCCGATTATCTCGACATCCCCAGCGACCCGAACTACAGCGAAAGTAACGGGAACGTCGCCACGAAAAAGCGCAGCCGCTCCAACAGCTCGCGGCACCGCGGGGAAGTTGTCACGGAACTCGGACCCGAAGAGGTGCGCTGGTTCTACAAAGAGGACAAGAGGACCTGGAAGCCGTTTGTTGGACACGATTCTTTGAACATCGAGTTGGCGTATCGCAAATTCTGCGAACTTAATCCGAACGAGGTCAGACGGAGGGATGCGGGTGAAGAAGCAGAGAATTTATTCGAGTCACCGTCAGGATGCGAAGCACCTGCGGTCCGAAGCCAGTCGGCGGCGGCGGTGGCAGCGCAACCGGTACCCGAGAGCGCGGATGCTGGATGCTCAACAGACGAGACGGAGCTGGATTCAGAGAGCATCAACGTGGACGCAGTGTGCGTCCGCGGAGGACTCTACGAGGTGGACATCAAAAAGAAAGACTGTTATCCTGTATACTGGAACCGTGAGTATTTGTCCAACACAATTGTATCTGGAAAAGAAAATAGATGTTTTGCAGAATGCTCATACTGCTCTTATACGTACATCGAAATTAATTGGTTATGAGCTCCAAAAGCACCATGAAAGTATCCTAAAAGTAGTCTACATAATTCAAGTGCATTTCAAATCATCTTGTGTGTGAAAAAAAATTAAATTTAAGTCATGATTTGCCAAAACATCACTGCCATAACTCTTAAATCTCGATGAGCTCATTATTCAAACTTGACCCTGAAAGTCCTGAAAGTCATTGCATCTGATCTGATGCCAAGTTTGAATGTGGCTTTGGGCGAATAACAACATTATGGTCTGTTCCTCAAATGGATTGTCCATTATAGTGTAACTTCTCCTTTGGTGTTTGTATGATGTGTGTAATTATGGTATATTTCTTATTTTGTTGTTTTTTAGATTTATGGTTGTTCGTTTCAATAGGAATCCGATATTTGGCATCAAGGCGAAAGGCAAAGGGCGTTTAAGTTGGTCACACTAACTCACACTGTTGACCCACAGAAAGCTGTCAGATTTTAATTGATTTCTGAGTTATGAAGTCGTTATTGACAACAGACAATGGGCCTTTTTTTGGGGGGCTCGCAATATTTCGCTAATGAACTCTCACCTTAAAGGGAGAGTTCACCCAAAAATGAAAATGTTGTCATCATTTACTCACCCTCAAGCTGTGTATGAGTTTCTTTCTTCTGTTGAACACAAAAGAAGATATTTTGAAGAATGTTGGTAACCAGGTAGTCATTGACTTCCATCATATGGAGAGAACATGTTAACAACCACTCAAAACACACTAGCAACATGTTAACAACCACCTAGAACACACTAGCAACATGCTAACATCCACACACTAGCAAGACACTACCTCACACAACAGTCCAGCAATCGCAGAACAACACGCTAACAATAACCACTCACAACACTCTAGTAACACATTAAAATTCAGAACACTAGAAACTGCATAGCAACATGCTAACAACCAGAACACTCCTGCAACACACTAACAACCACCAGCAACATGTTAACATCAGAACACAGTAGAAACCAAACAGAAACTTGCTAACAACCATTCAGAACATCTTAGCAGCTGAATAACAACGCCCTGGCAAGCATTCAACAACCTAGCATTGTGGCCATCAGTTTTACATGGCTAGCACCACTCTTGTTTTCATAAGAAAATGTAAAAAATGTTTTTTTTACTGTGATTTCTTTAAAAAATACTATAGTAATTTATAGTAAATACTGTACTGTTTTTGAACCATAGTAAATTGTATTATACTCTATATATTATAGTATTTACAACACTTTTTTAATGAATGCTACAGCATACTGTAGTATTAACTATAGTGAACTGATAAACTGTAATAAATAGTGTAGTATACTTTAATTTTTACTACAGTAAACTGTAGTGTATTGTAGTATAATATAAAATATAAACTTAGTACACTTTTGGGTAAATTAATTTGTTTATATTACTATAATTGTTATATTACCACAGCAACTACATAATTACCACAACAAATTAATTCAAGTACTTTACAATAGTATGGTTCAAAAACACTATAGTATTTACTATAAATTACTATAGTATTTTTTCATGTGGGCTGATTCACTTAAAATTAGGAATATCAACTTTTACAACCATTTTCTGTTAGTTCTTAATTGTTAGTTTGTCAGCTGCTTTGATTTTAGTGCTCTCTTGTTGTTTCCAATGCATTTAAAAGTCATTAATTATTTAAAGGTTTTTAGTTTTGTCTGCACTCTAGTCCACAATGACAATCCCTCTGTTAATCTGGTTTGTGTGATGTTCCTCTCCAACAATTACATTTAATATTTCATTTGCAGAATGAGGGATTTGGAAGATACGCTTCGGCATTTACAAACCTCATCCTCAAAACCCTTTCCAGCCCTGAAATTCAAGGTACGTTAGTATAACTGTACCCTTCCTCTCTCCTTCTCCCCTCCTGTTTGTGTTAGTCTTATTCAATAAACCGTGCGATGTGTAGGTGGAGAACTTCTTCTGCATGGGATCTCCTCTGGCTGTGTTTTTGGCTTTGCGAGGGGTCCGTCCTGGAACCAACGGAACACAGGACCACTTCCTCCCCAAATCCATCTGCCAGAGGCTTTTCAACATCTTTCATCCCACGGATCCTGTAGTGAGTGTGATTAGATTGCAGTGTAAATATAGCCCATGATCAGATTTCTCTTGTTACTGGTCCATATATATTATTATGAGCCAAGTGGGAAACAAAACCTATAGTCTAGCAATAAAATAATTTTATTATAAATGAATTCTAGCATTAACACACATGTAATAATATTAATAATTAGCTCTAATCTGTTGAAATGGTCCCTAAATTCTAAATAATTCAAATGCACTCTTACAAACAGTGTTTTTTTAATTAAACATATTAAAAAATATATATTATTTTTTTATTATTATTATTATTATTTTTTACTGGCACATTTATGGAACCTTTCCATTCCACTAAAGCGTCTTTATAGTGGAAAAAGGTTCTTTAGATTATACAATTTTTCTTCACACTAAGAAAAATGGTTCTTTGAACAACTCTTTAATGAAAGGTTTTTTAAAGAACTCAAAAAAAATGGTTCTTCCATTGCCCCACCCCTATTTCAGTCTTTCTACGTCAAAATTGCACATTTCATTTAATGTGTTACTTATCATTTCTTTGAAATTAATTGTGAAATGTACTTGTAATTTCTCAGTGAAAATTGTTTCTACACTGTTTTTTTACTCTCCCCAGTATAGTCCAGTATAGTTGGTATTGTAATCAAAGATAGAATATCTGAATATCAGTCAGGAAATATAAATAATAATCTAAATAAAGACAAATGGTTTCCTTTTAGGCATACAGGTTGGAGCCTCTCATCCTGAAGCATTATAGTAATATATCACCTGTCCAGATTCACTGGTGAGTAAAATAATGCCTTCGCTAAATACATGTAAAAATTAAATTCAAGAGTTAAATTGAAATATATATATATATATATATATATATATATATATTAAAAAAAATATTGTATGCCTGATTTTTGATTGTGAAGAATGAATATTCAGTTATTACAGCTAATAAAAAAGGGAGATGAAGATAACAATAACCAAAGACATAAGAGAACATATGTATATATATATATATATATATATATATATATTTATTAAAAAAAATATTGTATGCAAAGAAAAATATTGTAAGCAAATAAACTTCTGTTTCTATAATGTACAGTGCATATATTTTTGTACATTCATGTAACCATTGCTTTTTTTTTCCAGGTACAACACCAGCAGCCCCACACCGTATGACCAGATCCGTCCCACTCTACTTAATCCGTCAAAGGAAAGTGCTTCTGTGTCCGATACGGAGAGCCTCCCGAGTCCCTGCACCTCCCCTCCACAGCCCCGCAGACACTACGGCGAGTCTATCACCAGCCTGGGCAAGGCCAGCATTATGGGTGAGATGGAGAGAGAGATCATTAAAGGCGTCTGGCATAGTAAAACACTCGCAGGGCGAGCAGGATGTATACTGTGCGGTGGAGGAGTAGGATTACGCTTCCCAAATACTGAGATAATGGCAGCCTGCCTTCAGTTACTGCGTATCTGCAGTTTATAGCTCTTGATTTTAGCACGCAAAGCAATAAATAGAAACAGCTCAGCATAGCATTGGATCAATAGAAAGCAATTAGGAAATGTCACAGAAACAACTAGAGATTTGGAAAAGCCCTTAGCAATAATATATACATATTAATGGCCAAAACAAAAATATCAGAAATAAACTAGATTATCAAAATCTCTGCTTAGATTTAAATATATTTATTATATTTAAATATATGTATTAATTCACTGAAAAAAATGCTTTTCTAGCTTAGATCTTTTGTCTTGTCTTGTTTTCAGAAAAATCTAGTCGAATTGAAGTGAGTTTTTGCTTGAAACAAGCAAAATAATCTGCCAATTGGGTAAGAAAAATAATCTTATTTCAAACAGAAAACAAGATTATTTTTCTTACCCCATTGGCAGATTATTTTGCTTGTTTCAAGCAAAAACTCACTTCAATTCGACTAGATTTTTCTGAAAACAAGACAAGACAAAAGATCTAAGCTAGAAAAGCATTTTTTTCAGTGAATTAATACATATATTTAAATGAAAAAAATGCTTTTCTAGCTTAGATCTTTTGTCTTGTTTCCAGCCAAATATCTAAAAATTCTTAAACCAAGAAGGATTTTCTAGATAAGTAAAAATGATTGTCTTGTTTTCAGAAAAAACTAGTCGAATTGAAGTGAGTTTTTGCTTGAAACAAGCAAAATAATCTGCCAATGGGGTAAGAAAAATAATCTTGTTTTCTGTTTGAAATAAGATTATTTTTCTTACCCCATTGGCAGATTATTTTGCTTGTTCCAAGCAAAAACTCACTTAAATTCGACTTGTTTTTATCTGAAAACAAGACAATCATTTTTACTTGTCTAGAAAATCCTTCTTGATTTAAGAATTTATAGATATTTTGGCTGGAAACAAGACAAAAGATCTAAGATAGAAAAGCATTTTTTGCAGTGTTCTGAATCATTGAATGGCTCTGCTACCGATGAGCCATTACATTATGACCACCTATCTAATAACCTGTAGGACCTCTTTTAGCCGACAGAACAGTGGCTATGTGGCAAGGTATTAATTCAACAAGGTGGTCTTCTGAGGGATCTGGTACCATAATGTCAACAGCAGGTCCTCCAGTTCCCATACATTGTAGAGTGAACCACAAATATACGACTGGCTGAATTTGGAGGCCAAGGCATTAGCAGAAATTCACATTCATGTTCCTCGAACCACTCCTCGTCAATTCTTACAGTGTAGCATGGCGCATTATCCTGTTGGTAACGGCCATCACTGGCAGGGAACACAGTTGCCATGAATGGGTGCACTTGGTCCGCAACGATGTTCAGATACCTGACAGCTGTCAGGAATTATGCTATTTGGATAATGGGGCCTAAAGTGTCCTAAGAAGAAGTGTCCACCCAACAGTGCATCCTCTGTTGGTAATCGGTGTATCTGCGCTTGGCCCTGCAGTCGTTGTGAACAATGTGCGACAGTGTCCGATCCCCTCTGGCATCTGTGAGCTGCGGATGACACACGGCTGGACGACGGTTCTTCGTTTGGTCATCTGTGCACCACTTTTGATACGTACTCATCACAGCGGCATGTGAACAACCCACAAGGCGCGTCGTTTCCGAGATCGAAGTGCTAAGGTGCCATGCCATCATAGTTTGTTTATCAAACTTCGATAAATTGGCAGCTTTTCCCATTCTGACACCAAACACTCTACTGAGGAAAAGCCGGTGCTCCAGTGGTATATACACTGCTCTGTGAACTACACCTGCGGCACCATTTGGTTGCCAGGTACATTGGTGTATATATACAGTATATATATATATATATATATATATATATACATACACATATGCATATATATATGACTCATCTGTATATGCACCTGTCAAATATATATATGCCAAAGCAATCCTGATTTCTAACTGTAACCATACATACTTGTTTTTCCACAGGAGCGGCAAGTATAGGTAAAGGCATTGGCGGTATCCTCTTCTCCAGATTTTCCCGCTCTAGTGGACAGGTGTGTGGTGTGGAGGAGGAGCCATCAGACTCTGAAGGCGGGGCTTGTGAGAAAGGGGATGAGTGTCGGCCTGTAGAGTTAGACGATAAACTGGAGGAGAAGACAGAGGAGAAAATTGAGGAGAAGACAGGAGACACCAGCATGTCACAATCAGCCTCTACCATTATGGATAACTCCTCCTGTAAGCATCATCTGCACAAAGAAGTCTTTGTGCACTCTGATAATTTTTCTCAGTACTCATCATTTCGTGATTTCAGTATTTTGGTTTAGGAAACCTGTTTGGAAACAAACTATATTTTTGCAGTTTTCATTTGGTGCTGCTAATATTTCTGAAAACAATTGTTTTTATTGATAACTTTATCCTTTATTGTAATGGAAACCTGTTTCCACATTTGAGTAGAAAATAAAAAGGTAATTGTAAGATAAAGTTTAAAGTCACATTGTGAGATATAAAATTGCAATTGCCAAACATAAAGTCGAATTGCATTGTGAGATGCAAAATCGAAAGTATAAAGTCACATTTTAGACATAAGGAAATGTCCTAAGATATAATTTGAAGATATATCAGAGATAAGTCAGAATTCCAAGAAATAAATTAGAGATTTAGATTGGAAAAATTAGAGAAAACAAAGTCGCAATTGCTAGATATGAAGACACGGTGTAAGATATAATTTTGCAATTATGAAAAACAGTCATAATTGTGAGATATAAAATCAAGTTGTGGATATAAAATCATAAGTATCAGAAACAAAGTTGCAATTAAAAGATATAAAGTCACAATCTGGGGGGTACGGTTACATTTTAAATTCATTATTTGAACATATAAAATCTCAATTCCAAGAAATAAAGTTGCAATTTTAAGAAAGACGGTCACAATTTAAAGGTAAAGAAAAACGAAGTTACAATTGAAAAATTGGAAGTGCAAGATGTGAAATCATGTCTCGGATATAAAATTGCTCTGTCAAATATAAAGTCACAATTATCAGAAACAAAATAACAATTGTGAGATATAAAAGTAAATCGCATTTTAAGATATAAATTCACAATTTGAAAATATAAAGTCCCAATTCCCCAATTCTGCTCAAGCAGAACGTTAATGTTTTACATATGTATCTTAATATCTTTTATATATCCCTCCATGGCATATTTAAGTCTCACTTGAAGGTCCATCTGTGTCCCAAATTTATCAGAAACACCTCGGAAGAAGGTTTTCACTGACAGCTGTCATTGTAAGACAGTGAGCAACTCTGTTTATTTGTCCGAGTGAGCAACAGTAGCTAAGGGGGACGGGACTTACCGATAGGTCAATTGCGAAAAGCAGTTGTGAGATATTCACAATTGGGAGAGATAAATCTGTATCTGTATAATATGTTGTAATCTGCAACATGTAAAGTTACATTGTGTGGTATAAAGTCAAATTGTTAGATAAAACATTGCAATTGCGAGAAATAAAGTCACAGTTTGGAGATCTATTTTTATTCTGATGTGGAAATGGCTTTCATAAGGAGCTTCGATGATTTGTCAAATTCGCTTTTGAGTAGAAAATCAAACCTCCAGACCTCGAAAACCCGTGACAATGACATTCTTCCTTTGACTGTTTTGCAGTGGAGCTTGAGAAACGCATCGACTTTGAGCTGAGGGAGGGTCTGGTGGAGAGCCGCTACTGGTCAGCGGTGACGTCGCACACAGCCTATTGGTGCTCCCACGATGTGGCTCTGTTTCTGTTAACATTCATGTACAGGCCAAATGAAACGAATGACATGCCAGAGGACAACCCCGAATCATAACAAACACGCATATGAACTCTGACACAGCACCACCCTCGATCGCTCCCTTAATATAGTTTAGCAGACCTTGTTCACTGTGCATCAGAGATCCTGTCCTTGCCTTGTTTTCCCTCCATTTAGAAGCACATCCATGGAAGAGACTTACTCTCTCCACTACATCCTCCCCAATTAGGATTGGAAATTCTGACCATTCCCACCTTGCAGCGGTCTCTTCATATTGACTGATGTGTATTGACATTGTTGTGGTTGTATAGTGAATTGGAGGTTCACGATCAGAAGGGTTTTCTGAGAAGTACGTTTTCTTGCCTAAAAAGAATAGTTTTGAAGACTTTTATAATTTAAGCATAAATATTATGTTTATATTATTTAGATGATAAAACACAATCTGTATCACTCCTAAAAGTGGCCAAATTTTGAGTAGTTAATTTGAAGAGAATAACCATTAGTAAACGTGGTTCAGCCAAAAATATCAATTCTATTATTATTTATTCACCCTCATGTTGTTCCAAATTCATGTGATTTTCTTATGTCAGTGGAACACAAACGGAGATATTTTGAAGAATTGTACTAGCTGTTGTTTACACATTACCAGTGTTCTTTTAGTTTAATTTATATACTATTATAGTTTATATTCATATTTTGAGTTAATTTTAGTTGTCTTTTTTATGTGTTCATACAGTTATTTTATACATATTATTTTGTTTTTCAGTTTTAGTTAATTGTAGCACTTTGTTAAACTAATCAAATAAGAGCTGTAATAAAATAAGTTTACTTTTTATATTTCATATTTTATTTCAGCTATTGTTTATTTTATTTCAAGTAACATTTTATTTTATTTTATTTATTATTTTTAAAAGGGTCATATGATGCGATTTCAAGTTTTCCTTTCTCTTTGGAGTGTTACAAGCTGATTGTGCATAGATAAGATCCCTGAAGTTGCAAAGACTAAAGTCTCAAAACCAAAGAGATATTCTTTATCAAAGTTAAGACTCTGCCACGCCCCCCTAAAACGGCTCGTTCTAACACGCCCCCACATATCTACATCACTATGTGGAAATATTAGCATAATGCGTTTAGGAGCACGTCATCAGTGAATAACCTCTGACCTTTCAGTCTGTTCCTGAAAATATCTTCTAGCCTCAGAAGACTTGGAACATAGTTGTATGGACCACTTTCATGATCCGTTTTGCGCCTTGAAAGCCTCAGTTCCCATTTATTGTAAGTGGAAAGATCGACTAGAACATTCTTCCGAAATTCTCCTTTTGTCTTCCATGAAAGAGAGAAAGTCCTTTTTCTTCTTCTCTTTCTGATCCATTTGAGGCATTAGTTTCTCCTCTGCGCTCGCATGATAGACACTGAAATCTACTGCACATTTGAATGCACTCTTTGCTATGATCACCACTGAGTTTTTGCTTTAACATGCATGAAGTCTGAATGTTTTCCACTGAGGCTGTTAGAAAAACTCCCTACACCTGGATCTCCTCTTAGTTCTGTCCAAGTTGAAACACTTCACATTTTGCATATGTGGCATTCTCTGCAGTCGGCATATCAAACATGTTACTCGTCATGTTGTTTCCTAATGTATTACAGCACTAATGAACCAGTTGTATGGACCACTTTCATGATCCGTTTTGCGCCTTGAAAGCCTCAGTTCCCGTTTATTGTAAGTGGAAAGATCGACTAGAACATTCTTCCGAAATTCTCCTTTTGTCTTCCATGAAAGAGAGAAAGTCGTACTGATTTGGAACATCAGAATTTTCATTTTTAGGTGAACTATTCCTAAGTCCTTTTTCTTCTTCTCTTTTTGATCCATTTGAGGCATTAGTTTCTCCTCTGCACTCGCATGATAGACACTGAAATCTACTGCACATTTGAATGCACTCTTTGCTATGATCACCACTGAGTTTTTGCTTTAACATGCATGAAGTCTGAATGTTTTCCACTGAGGCTGTTAGAAAAACTCCCTACACCTGGATCTCCTCTTAGTTCTGTCCAAGTTGAAACACTTCACATTTTGCATATGTGGCATTCTCTGCAGTCGGCATATCAAACATGTTACTCGTCATGTTGTTTCCTAATGTATTACAGCACTAATGAACCATATAGTCACAAAGACATTGCCATTTTGAAAGAACCATCGTTTTTGTGTTACGCCCATGTTTTCTGTATTAATTTTGTATGATTTGTTTACAGTAATCCTGAAAAATGACACCCCCATGCCTCAAAAACATTTTAGGCTAAAAAATCGTATCAACCCCGCTACTGTATATCATATTTTATTATATCATATTATAAACTAAATGTGATTAAAAAAAAATCCCCGTTTATCAGTTCATTAATATTTGTTTATAGTGATTCCAGGATATGCATCTCTGTGTTTCAACTTTTAAATATTCATTTCATATCAGCTTATTCAGCTGTTGATAAAATCAGCATCACTTCTTCCAATCAATCAGCCCTTCCAACCAATAACGGGCTGCATTTTATCATTAGCTAGATGTTTTGCGTGTATTTGCATGTGTGTGTGTGTGTGTATGTGTGTACTGGTTTATATATCCTGGTGGGGACTTAAACCTGACTGCACACAGACTCATGGGGACTCGTGTCACGGTGGGGACCTAAATTGTGGTCCCCACGGGTACAAAAGCTTATAAATCATACATAATTAAGTTTTTTGAAAATCTAAAAATGCAGAAAGTTTCCTGTGAGGGGTAGGTTTAGGGGTAGGGTTGGTGTAGGGCAATAGAATATACGGTCTGTACAGTAGAAAAACCATTACGCCTATGGAGAGTCCCCACAAGGATAGCTGACCAGACATCTGTGTCAAATACAAGCCGCCAGTGTTGCCAACTTAGCAATTTTGTTGCTGGATTTAGCAACTTTTCAGACTACCCTAGCAACTTTTTTTTTCCCAAAAAGCACCTAGCAACAAATTGAGCTATTTTTAAGGACTGCCAGTGACCGGCTGTTGCGCGCATAAAATGCAACCTTTTTATTCGGACAGTGTATGATTTCTATTAACATTACAGAATAGAACATGATCAATATTTTATTTCAACGTTCAATTTAAATAACTATAATTGCACAAACTATGTAGGCTACAATTTCAGTAATAAAAACATTCAACATTCAGACGTTAGTTGTTTTAAGAAATGGCGATTACTTTTTTTTTGGACCATATTTATTTACTCTGTTGTTCACAGTGGGGCTAGTTGTCACACTTGTTACTCGAGTGAATATTTCTCCATTTCTGTATAGATGCATAACTTAAACTTGGCTACTATTCAGTTTTACTTCATTTTAACATGTAATTTATTCAGAAATCATTAATATGCGGATTTGGTGCTCAAGAAGCATGTCTTATTATTATCAATGTTTGAAACGGTTGTGCTGCTTAATAAAATCATAAATAATGAAGTCATGTATACAAATAAATAAATATTATACATAATGCTACCGCACTTAAACGTGTCACACGTCTAAGTTGTCACAAAACAATTAATGAAACAACAGACATGTAAACATTAAACCATTGATTTGACCAAGAAATAGTAATCAGTTGTATGAATTCAGTTTTGTAATGTTAATTGGCCCCAGCATTTCCTGTTGGGCACAGAAATAATTTTTTGGTCATGTTTTGTGGAAACATCTACAAGGCATTGTGAAGATGAACATTCAGTCAGCCATCAGCCGTGAGATCTTTGTCCCAAGAGATGAAAAGTTACTGGTAGCCATTGAGGTGAGGAGGAGGATGAAGAAGAAAGGACTGTCCTTCCTCAATGCAGGTCGCAAGCGGGACTACTTAACTTACCTCTGCCTGTCAGGTAATGTGCGCATCTTCATAAACTCTAAATATCTAAACTAGTTACTAGATGAATCGTTTGTTGAGCAGTCAGATGTTCTTGAAGTTTGATGGAGACATCAATGTTTCCATGTAGTTACTAACAGTAGACCAGCTCAAGTCCTCATCACTAAAGTTAAGAGGTATCGGGGCACGAGGCCGTTTGCTAAAAGGTCTCAATGGTCTGTGGAGCAGCTTCGCCAGGTCAATGGCATCAACCCTGACAAGGTGATCATCCTTCTAAATGCAGCTTTTATTTCCCAGTATGTTCCGTTATTCTGACTGAATGGATATTTTTAGGACACTCCTGAGTTCGACCTAGTGTTCGATCGCACCACTGATCAATGGGTGGCCAGCTCAGCTGCAGAGAAATGCATGTTTGTGCAGGTTCTCTATCATGCTTGTCAAAACTACTGGGAGGCCAAGCTTGCCCAAGCCAACCCAGCGTCCCCCGGAGACCAGAAGATACCAGGAGCTCCGGAGAACAAGAAGAGCCTTGGTGCTCCAAGCCAAACTAGCTTTGTTAACTGTCAGCAGAAGCTAATGGGAGGTGAGCGGGCTTAGAAAGACGGATCACTGTATTGACCTCTTTGCAGAATGAACATGTACAGTATGTATGGAGAACCTAAGACCTGTAACAAAACAAAGCCCCGTTTTCTTTTTTCTCCATATTTCAGATGCTTGTTCTGTTAATATGGTCATCTATCGCTGCAAGATTTTTTTGAACAGAATGAAGAACAGTATGACTGCAAACCAGGGTCAGCCTCAGCGTGAAGGTAAGTAGGATTTTGTGTATGTGTGTATTTTCCAAATTCATTGTGATCATGTTGATGTCATATGGTTTTGAAAATCATTTATAAAATTTATACCAACGTTCAAATTGAATAATGGTCTAACCATCAAGTAAAAAAAAAAAGTATTTAATATCTTGAAATCATGTATAGAATGTGTACACATTTTAATCAAAATTTGAGTTTTTAAAAAATAAAATAATAAAAAATAGAAATAAATTAAAAAATTTTTTTTTTTACATTTTTAACATAAATCGTACAGTTTTTATTTTAAACATATTTTACAATTATTGTATATATATATATATATATATATATATATATATATATATATATATATATATATATATATATATATATATATATATATATATATATATATGAAATGACTTGGTAGAGAAACATTCTTTATTATTATTATTATTAGTTAAATATTTATGTTCAAGAATAATTTCAATAATGAATTGTTATAATAATACTTTTATTATTACTTTTATTTCTGAAAAATAGAAATACATTTTATAAAATTTTAACAAGTCATATATATATATACAACATTTTTTTAAATTCTAGTTTTTATTTTAAACATATTGTACAATTATTATGAACATATATATATATATATATATATATATTCATAATAATTGTACAATATGTTTAAAATAAAAACTAGAATTTAAAAAAATGTTGTATATATATATATATGACTTGTTAGACATATTTGATTGTTATTATTATTAGTTAAAGATTTCTTTTCAAGAAAATATCAATAATACATTTTCATAATAATTATACTTTATTATTATTATAATATTTATTTTCAACAATTCTTATTTTTAATAATAATAATAATAATAAAACTTGCTCTTATGGAATTTGTTGAGTTCTATATTGAAAATGAATTAATTCAGAAATAAAAAAACAATGTGCCCCTCATTGAAGAGATGTATTTAAAATATATGAGTTGCAGTTTCAATTTTTTAACAAAAAATGAACATCATATCATTGACCCCTAGGCAGTCTATTAGAAATGCATCTTTTAGGCAATTGCGTTCATTTCCATCCTGTCCTGTCTGTGTAGTTGTGTGGGTCAGATCAATCAGGGTCCAGGCAGGAAGAGAGGGTGCTTTGTCGGCCCCGTCAGCGGGTGGTTGTTTGTAGTGCTCTGATAGATCTCTCGGCAGCGCCAGAGAATGGTCCCATTGCAAAGAGGGCCCGATTAGTTCAGAGGCCACTTTGTTCTGATGAAGGCATGCGCAGGGACACAAAGACAGGCGTTGAGGAGGGGGGAGAGGAGCGGAGATGAGTGAAGTGGCACCAGCCTTCACAGCGGATCATGGATGAATGGTGTGTAATGAATGGGAGAGGTGCCAAGCTGCCCTGGAGCCGCAAAATGAAGAGTACCAGTCCACACACCTCAGCCCTAGTCTGTGTTTTGACAAGGAATTAGACTAGTTAATGGCAATGCAGAAGTTTCAAGTGTATATAATGGCAATCCATAAACGAAAAGCAATCATTTTCTGTTGTCTCCTTTCATGTATTTTACAATATTAGATCAAAGGATCAGAAACAGAGACCCTCCCCTCCAAAAAAAATTCAGGAAGGCGGACAAAAGTGGACAAAATAGACAGATTAAAACACCAGGTGTAATGTGCATTTGTCTCCATCGTCTACTTGCGATATGATTGACCAAACCCGTCTTAAAACCAGGTGTAAACAGGGCCGAAATGGTTGAAAGTGGGCAAGCTCAAAACCTTTCCGACCCTGTTTATGCCTGTATGCAGTGTTGTCCACTTCGACAAAATGCATCTTAAAACCATGCTTTCAGTCTCTGATCTAGAATCTTTTTTCCCCATCACACTAATAGTAAAGCATTAAACTGAAAAGCAGTTATGTACCAGAGCAGAGTCTATTTGTCTATATACGTCTATTTAATAACCTATACAGTAAATGTGTAAAATAAAAGAATGTTTGGAACTTGACATGATGCTCACATGTGTTTCTGAATATTTCCACAGCAGCAGCTGTTAAAGCATCCAGGAGCAGGAGCAGGAGCAGCCCGTCTCCTCCGGCGGTGAGGAAGATGGGGAACGTGATGCGGAGGGCCAGTCAGGTTCTGAGTGAACGCGGGGAGCGTCTGATGAGGGCCGACGATAAAACCAGCCACTTTCTGCACGGGGCCAAGCAGTTTGCAGAGGCTGCTCAGAAGGTGAGCTGATCAGAGCACCCGTTTACTCTGATTTGCTCCAAATTAACCGTTTAAGCTTCATGAAACTACACAGTGTCATGAACAAGCGGTATAATGATGTAATATAATAATAAATATGTGACTCTGGACCACAAAACCAGTCATAAGTAACACAGGTATATTTGTAGCAATAGTCAAAAATACATTGTATGGGTCAAAATGATTGATTTTTCTTTTATGCCAAAAATCATTAGGATATTAAGTAAATATCATGCTCCATGAAGATATTTTGTAAGTTTCCTACTGTAAATATATAAAAAATGTATTATCTTTAGTAATATGCATTGCTAAGGACTTAATTTGGACAATTTTAAAGGCGATTTTCTCAATATTTTGATTTTTTTGCACCCTCAGATTCCAGATATTCAAATAGTTGTATCTCAGCCAAATATTGGCCAAGTATGGTTCCTAACAAACCATACATTAATGGAAAGCTTATTTATTCAGCTTTCAGATGATGTATTAATCTCAGTTTATAAAAATGGACCCTTATGACCCTTAGGTTTTGTGGTACAGGGTCACATATAATATAATATACAGTTGTTTTGTTTTTGGAAAAAAAAAAAGCTTCCCAAGGCTGCATGGATTTGATCAAAATACGGTAAAAACAGTAATTTTGTGAAATATAAAAAAAATAAAAATTTCCATTTATATATTTTAAAATGCAATTTAATTCTATGGTGGTAAAGCTGAATTTTCAGCAGCCACTACTCCAGTCTAACAATTCTAATATGCTGATTTGCTGCTCAAGAAACATTTTTTCTTATTATTAGTGTTGAAAACAGTCGTGCTGCTTCATATTTTTTTGGAAACCGTGATCATTTTCTTTTTTTCTTTCAGGATTCTTCAGAATAGAAAGTTGAAAAGAGCAGCATTGATTTGAAATAGAACTTGTTTTCTAACAATGCAAAAGTCTTATTCTATCTCTCCTTGTCTTTGTCTGTGCTCTTGTACACATTTAAAACATGTTAAATGTGTAAACACCCCTTCATTTGCGCAATAAATGAAACGGGACCCACTTATAGTGAGTGTATTATTTCATGATAAATATGTGGTTGTCTGTGCGCCTTCTGTCCACTAGAGGTCACATACAAACCGTTCAACATCCTGCAGACAAGCGTCTACCAGTTATTTCCCCCCAAACTTTTAAGTGCATTAAAGAGTAAGGGGGGCATATCAAATATCACAAATTTACATTCTGAAAGTATGTTTTTTTTAATTGTATGTTCTTTTTATTTTTGTATTTACTAGTTCAACATTTTACTCTTATGAAATGTCAATTCAAGCTTATAATAGCTATGAATAATTATATATATATACATATATGTGTGTGTGTGTGTGTGTGTGTGTGTACATACA